GTGCGGAGCGCGAGGCCTGTGCGCGCCAGATCGCGAACGCCCAGCCCGCCAAGAGAGATCGGCCTGGCGACGTGCTGCTAGTTGATGTGACAATTGCCGCCGTTAGCCTCCGCGCGCCCAGCCCAGAGAAAGCCTCGCTGGACCTCCTCAAGTGCCTTCAGGGTCTTCTTAGGGGAGGCAAGCACGAGCAGCTGATGGATAGGGATCGCTGCCAGGATCGCCTTGACAAACGTGAGGCGGCTCGCCTTGTTCATGGGGTGCGCCTTCCAGCAGGGTAGCATGCCAACGGCCTTGTCGACGACGGGCTGGAGTTGGGCAGCAATGGGTCGCCGCAGCGTGAGCGAGATGCCGAAGTATGTGATCGGCATCGCGACAATGGGGCATCCCAACAGGTCGAGGGCCGGCGCCTCGGATCAAGGTGGCGGAGCTCTTCGAGAAGTTGACGTGAAGGCCGGAGGCGCGCCCAAAGAGCTGCAGAATGCTCCTCACGGCGGATGTGTCGCCCATCGTGGGGTGACAAAACAGGACCACATCGTCCGCATACAGCGAGACAGATGGGATCGTGCGTCGGGGGTGGAGCTGTTGCAGGATGCGCAACTCGGTGGCGCGACGTAGCAGGCGGCCTAGTGTGTCCACCGCGAGAACGAAGAGCTGGGGCGACATGGGGTCACCTTGCCGTAGTCCTTGGCAGTGCCAAATGGGCGGGCCTGGTTCGCCGTTCAAGACCACCTTGGTGCTGGCCGACGAAAGCAGGATCGCTAGCCAGCCCAGGAATCTGGCACCAAACCAATATTGGCACAGGACGTCGAAGAGGAACGACCAGCTGATCGAGTCGAAGGCACGAGTCAGGTCCAGCTTCAGCAAAAAGCGCGGCACGCCTAGCTGGTGTAGCAGGTGCACAGACTGTCGTACGAGGACGAAGTTGTCATGCAAGCTTCTTCCCAGGATGAACGCATTTTGGCTCGTGCTGACGAGAGCGTTAAGCTTGGGCGCAAGGCGGAGCGAGAGGACCTTGGCAAAGATCTTGGCGACAAGGTGGATGAGGCTTATGGGCCTGTAGTCGCCGAGGCCTCTGGCGTCCGCGCGTTTCGGGAGCAGCATGAGGAGCGCCTAGTTGAGGCAGCTGAATCCACACCCTCGCAGCTTGTAAAGCTGCTGGAAGACAGCAATGAAATCATGTTGGACTATGGGCCAACATGCGCAAAGAAACTCGGCGGTGAATCTGTCGGGACCAGGGGCCTTGCGCGCGAGCAGGTGCATAACAGCGTTCCATATCTCCTCGGCGTCAAAGGGGGCCTCAAGGTCGTCCAAGTTGACTGGCGTGATCAGTGCCTCAAGCTCCAGAGCGCACTCGCGGGGTGGCGCAAAGCCCAGGAGTCCGTCGAAGTATGCATGCGTCGCGGCGGCCATGTCGCATGGGTCCGTGACCGCATGCCCGCCGACCACAAGGTTGTGGATCCTGCTCTTTTGTCGTCGATACGTGCATTGTCGGTGGAAGAAGGACGTGTTGGCCTCCCCGTCCTTGAGCGAGGCGAGGCGGGAGCGCTGCCGGGCAATAGTTTGCTCGATCGCGGCGAGGCCGAGATAGGAGGCCTTGATTTGCCGGCGCAGCCAGTCCTCGTGGGGAGACAAGACTTTGTGATCCTGCGCGGTGTCGAACTTGAGGAGGAGCTCCCGAGAGATCGCAAGCTTTAGGCGCACATTTCCCACCGTTTTGGCGCTCCAGCTTGTGAGCCCACGCGAGGTTGCTTGCATGCGCAGCATGAGGCGGCGGAAGGGGTCGGCGTCGCTCACGGATTGCCAAGCTGCCTCCACGGTGTCATAGAACCCGTCTATGCGCATCCAGAAGTCCTCGAAGCGGAAGCGGCGATGAGCCGCGGCACCGGCGAGCAGTCAAGCAGCAAGGGATTGTGGTCGGAGACCGAGGCGAGGCAACGGAGGTGGCATTCACCATGCAACTCCTCCCACTCGGCGGTGCAAAGGACACGGTCAAGGTGGACCAGTGTCGGGGGTGACTGCTCGTTTGACCACGTGTAGCGGCGACCGTTGAGGTAAACCTCCTTGAGCGCCAAGTCGTTGAGGGTGCGCCAGAAGCGACCCATCATGCTTCGGTTTAAATTCCCGTTGTTCTTATCTTCGTCGCGATATATGAGGTTGAAATCCCCACAAATCATCCAAGGCCCGGAGAAATCCATGCGTATGTCGTGGAGCTCCTGCAGGAAGGCGATCTTGGCCTCGTCCGGCTGCGGTCCGTAGACCACGGTGATCCACCACGGTGTGCGAGCGCCGGAGGGAGTGGAAACACGGGCGGTCAAGGCGTTGGCGGTGAATAGGGGTCGGTAATGACTATCTCCCTACTCTTCCAGGCCAACAGGATGCCGCCACGGGTTCCTTGCGCGGGCAGGTACACGTAGTCATCGAATTCCGAGCCGAGGGCTTCGAGGACAGTCGACGAGCAGATCAAAGCCATCTTAGTTTCTTGCAAACAGACGAGGGATGCGTTGGCGGTTACAAAGCGACCTGACAGCAGTATGACCGTGCGCACGCGTTGAGGCCACGCATGCTCCATATCAGGATTTTGGGGCTGTGCTCCATGGGGACGAGGTCGACGAGGGGCGCAAGGGCGCAGCTAGGCCTCGATCGGGCTGCCCACGATCACCGTGGTGATTGGCGTGACGGCAGGATTGGCGGGGAGCTCGCGATCCACCAAAGCGACGATGGCCGATAGGACCGACAGGGGGATGGGCGCTACAAAGAGGCCGTCGTACGCCTTCATCTCAGCGGTTGTGATCCTCTGGTTGACACCAATGACACCGAGGGTGCACAGAATGTGGACTTGGGCGCGGCGCTCGGCCGTGGGGGGGCGACAGACTTGTGAGCTGCGGTCGAGGCCGATCGCCCGCGGCGTGGGGAGAAGTTGGGCGGGCATCTCCGAGGCCGCTTGCCAGGGGTCGGGAGGGCAGCATCGATCCGCTTGGTAGCCGCAGCGAGGAAGTCGCCAAGGGTCCATGTCGTCATGGCGGCCGCACGGGGGCGGGACCGGCGCATCGTGATGGGAGGCGAGGCGAAGCGCGTGGCCGGGCTTGGAGTAGCAGGGCACGCCGCGTGGGCGGCGTCATCTACGAGCGCGCCATGTTGGGCCTCATGCCCCACCTCGACAGGCTGGTTCGCATGCTGGGCCTCATGCTGGGCTGTGGGGGGCTGGGCCGCGAGGGGGCCCGAGGCGGGGTCCTTGATCAGCACGCCATAGGCGGGGTCCTCCAAAAGGGCTTGGTCGCGGGCGGCATGCAGGGTGGGCTCCAGCGGGGGGATCTCTCCGGGGATCGGTCAGCAGGTGACGCGGGGCGGGCAGGAGGGGGCGGAGGCGGGGCCCTGCTTTGCCCCGAGAGCGGATCAGGCACGGGGACCGAGGCCTGTGACTCTGGGACCTCGTTGTCCAACGATAGGCGGTCCGTGGAGTCATCCCGATCCACATGCGCGCTGGGATTGGCCACTTCTGGCGCAGCCGCAGCATGGGCGAGGTCATCCACGCAGCACGATGGGGCCGGCCTGGCTGGCGTTGTAGTGTTGAGGCGCACAGCCAAAGAGCCAGAGCCAGCAGGCGTCATGACGCGCGTGTCGGGGCACGCGGGGAGGCCACACGGCGGGGAAGTCGTAGGGGCGCAGTTTTGGCAGTACTGGACACTCTTGTCGCCTTCCGGCGCTTTCCGCCCCGCTTTCCCCTTTTGGAAAAGCGACGAGGGCGGCTTTGCCCGTTGGCAGTAGGCCAGGGGTCCATGGTACGGCTTCCAGGGCGCCTCGACAACGGTGCCGCATCGACCGTACGGCGACGGGAGGCAGCCCAGCCATCATCAACAGTGACACCATCAGCCCGGCGGGCGGGAACGAGGGAGCTCCAGCCAGTGCAGTCGACGGCTATGCCATCGGCGCGGCCACCGTGGTAGCCGGAGGTCCGTCGTCGCTTGCGGCTGCGGCTCGCGTCATGCCCGCGTCCAACATCCCCATCGTGCTCACCCGGTGCGTCGTCAGTCGCGGCCGTGGCGGGCAGGGGGGCGCAGCCACTTGGCCAGCCGGAGCGTTGACGATCGAGATAGACACGGGGTAGACGAGGGTGCGGATGGTAGGCGGGCCATGGTCGCGGGCGAGGACAGACTCCACGATCTCGAGGGTGGCCGCCCGGCGGATCGAAGCCGGGTCGCGGGTGCGCGCCGTCAACCGGAAGGTGGCTAGATCAACGCGGGAGCGCGTGCTCGGCTGGAGCCGCTCAATCCAGCAGCTGCTGCCGAGGTGTTCTACCGTGGACAGGTGCCAAGCCTGCGCAGGGATGCCGCGGAGCTCCAGCTGGACGTTGAGGTCAAGGGAGTCGACGACGGCATGCGCAAGCTTGCTCCAAGGGTGGATCGACTGGGTGAACCCGGGCCCGTTGATGAAGTGGTCGCCGGCAAGGCGGTCCATGAGCTCGCGGGTGGAGAGGATGACGAGGAAATCCTCGGGGTGGTGCGCGTGGATGGTGAAGTCGCTGGGCTGGAGGCGGAGGGAGGAGTACAAAACCTCCTCGACATCCCCAGGAGCGACCACCGGTCCGGTGCCGGTGATTGAAACGACCATCCCACGGCGAAGAACCACCTCGGCCTCCTCCATCTCCACAAAATGTGACAGGATGACGCGTACCGGGTCGACAGGTGGGGCGGAAGGCGCTGGTGGGGTTGGCGAGTTGCAGCGCGGCGCTCCGGCGCCGGCACGGAGGGGGCAGCCTGTGTTTTTAAGGCGGTGAGGCGAGGCGAGGCGCTGGGGGGCGCCTCACTGCCTAAGTGGTAAGGCATAAGGCGAGGCGACGCCTTGGACACATACATATATAATAGATGGCAGCCAATTAGGAGATTTAACTACTAGCATTGACATCATAAATTGTACATACATATATAACAGATGGCAGCCATTTAGGAAATTTAACAACTAACATTAACATAATTAGTTGTTGCCAAATCATAGGCCTCAAATCATCTTCTGTATATGACAGAAAGGCGCCTTTGAACTTCAGCTTCATCCTTCTCGTCAATATATCGCTCCATAGCTTTAAACTTTCTAGTGTTTAAGGATTTGCGCATCTCTATCCTAATCTCCGTAGATGCCTTGGGACACATATCTGCATCACTACAACCCCCAGAAAGGTGTTGCTTCAGCCTTCTCACTCCAGCATGGACTATCTTGCCACACAATGTACACTGGAGTAAATCTTTCCTCTCTAAATCTGGCCAAAACCCATAATTCCAAACTGGATCATCTGATGTAGCTCTTCTCCTAGGATCCATCAGAGCAGGGACACCTCGTTGCTGCAGCAACATTGAGAAAAGACCCAATCAACCGTCAAAGAGAGAAGAGCCAAATCACTAGAGCAAGCAGACAAGCATGGGGAAGGAGAGAATCGATGGTGGGGTTGCTGCCTTGTGGATGGAGAAGCAGATTTGGGAGCAAACAGATGTAGAGGAGCAGGCAAGCAGCCAAGCACATCTACAGATCTACCTACAATGCAGGAAGAAACAGAGTACTAGGAGGGGTAGAAGAAAATTCGGAGGAGGCAGGGGTAGAAGTGAGATGAGAACGGGAGCCACACCTTGCTATTGCGCCAGAGTTGGAGGGAGAGCTAAGCCCGGCGAGGAGGGGCACAGATCGGAGCTGTAGAGGAAGGAGCCGCCGCCAAAGGTCAGAGAGGAGAGAAGGAAACCCTATCGGGTGGATTGGACGATTGGTTCAATCCTCTCTGTCCCGCCCTTCGCCTTATACCTGTTCGCACTCGCGCGCGAGCCCAAAATTTCCAGCGAAAGCTTCCCGCATGGGCCACTCTTTCCCGCCTGGAAGCAGCCCATGGCGTCCGATCTGGCCCAAGGCGCCGCCCTACGCGCCTAGGCGGACGATTCAGACGCCCTAGAATCTAAAGCGGACGCTTTACGACGATGTGTAAGGCAGGTTCGACGCCTTGCCACCAGAGGGCGCCCCGACGCTAAGGCATCGCCTAAGCGACGCTTCACAAACGCCTTAAAAACAGAGGGGGGCAGCCACAACAGCGAGGGCAGCGCGCAGAACACCCTTGTGGTACTTCCTGCAGTCACGCGAGCCATGGCCGGGGTAGAGGCAGCGACGGCAGCGGATGTCATTGGGGCAGTCGCGCACAGGGTGGCCCGGGTCGAGGCAGCAGAAGCAGAGGCCGGCAGTCGCTCCGGGGACGGGCTGCGACTGCCCCGCGGCTGGGAGCTCGGGCGGCGGCGCGCCACGCGCCACGACGTCGATTCCTGCGGCGCGGGAGCTGGAAGCCGTCCGCATCCACCACCGGGGCGCCATGGACGCGGTGGACCTCGGAACGGGGTCCCAAGCGGGACGCGGCAGGGGCGCGCCGGGAGGGCGCGAACGGTCCGCGCGTCACGGCAACGTGGCCGCGGCGGGAGGCGGGCTCGGCGGGAGAAGGGGGGTCCGAGCCATGTCACTGTAGGACCGCGTCGAGGCTTCACTGTCGGAGTCCATTCAGCGTCGCGGGCTCACGAAGCCGAGGTCGAGGTCGCCGGAGCTGCCACTCGGGGGCGCCATGGCAGGGGAGAGGGGGCGGGGAGGGAGGGCTACCTGGGAGCACGGGAGCAGGGCACGGGAGCCAAATTGGAACTTAATGTGACATGAAGTCTAAATAAAGCACCAAACTCCTTGGGAGGTTAACAGGTTGTTGTTCAATATGATAATCTATGACTGAAATTTGCATTACGTGGTGTGTAAAGTTCCAACTGGGACACTGGGACAGGTAACTGGTAAACTAGATCAAATGCCCAAGTAGATGACTTTTGAAATGGCACTTGAGATGCATACATAAATCTTAACTATTTTATAGATCATAAATGGCAACCCTTCAAAACTAATCATAAATCAATAAAGTCAGAGATAAGATTTCTTGAAAAGGAGTGCAGGATGATGGTTTGCTGAATTTGAAAAGTTCTCTTAAGTTCTTGAAGGTACCTCGTCTAAGTCGAATGAGACACCCAACTTCTGAAAGCAAGAGATTACAGCTTTGGCAGTGCCAGAAACATCCAATTTTGTCGCTTGATGAGACTCCATTACCTATGGAAGTGTGTTAGTTTGATATTTAAAAAAGGGTCATTGGTGTCAGCACTGATACGAAACAAAAAATGATGTAATTAGGCATTCAGAAGAAAGAACAGCAGTATTCATATATGGAGGCAAATAAGAAAATCTCTAATCATCTGAGTTACACTTGCTGGCTGAACAATATTAAACCACCACACAGGACATTTGGACTAAATGAAAAGTATCATATTCTCTAATTCATACAAGTATGTTACTTATATATTAGCACAATGCCCTGCGTCGCTACGGAATAAAAAAAATAACACGCATGTTTAAGAACATTATGTTATTGGTTGGGCCAGATCAGACCACAGATAATTATTAGTTCTCATCCCAACTCTTTGTGCCAAATCCAGTGATGGTCCAAAGATGAATGGACCGCCATCACCTATTCACATCTTTATAAGAGTTGCTTGTGCCAAATTGGACCACAGATAAGTATTAGTTCTCATTCCAACTTTTTGTGCCAAATCCAACAGGTGATGGTCCAATGATGAACGGACCGACATCATCGAATCACATATTCACAAGAGTAATGATTTGTGCCACTTTTGGAACAAACGATTGGATTGGATATCTTTATTCATACAAGCTGGTAAAATCTATGTGAATGACATTAAGAACATAAGCATAATAAAAAAGTAGAAACAGCATAACTGACGGAGCACTTTGGTCATTTAAATAAACGACAGCAAAGCTGTGTGATGTCCATTATTTTATTCCTAGCAGAGAAGAATAGTTGTGATGTATGTGTCTGGGATGTGATGGTGGGCAGTGGCATTAGTCCTGCATGCTCACATGTTCAGTTCAACTTGCATCAGAGTTTTAAACACAAGAGAACCTATCACAGAACCCACAGGTCTTTCAAAACTCGTGCATATAAATAATATAGATAAGTGGTTCAAAATTTAATAAAAATTTGAAGAACAGTTCTGAAGTTGTGTCTGTGTGCATTTGCATCTCGCAGGCTTGCAATCCTGTCCCCGTCAATGTTAATAACCCTTTTAGATGAAGCAAGAACGGATAAGATAGTAGGTATACATACCCAAGGTGTTTCAACTTACAATGGCGACATATTTACCATGCGTCAGAAGATAAATTTGTTAACATACTGGATATAAACTGTTTCCAATTAATAAAAGATACCCCTGCTCCTAGCTCCGAATTTCCAGTGACAATCCAGTAGCTACTTTCCCTCCTTATTACTGTGGCATGTCAGCTGATCAGCTGCTGTCTTATTAGAATAGCTTTTCATATATATTCCACCACATTGGCTTGTAGATATTTTACTAGTTGCTACGTCAAGTTAACATCTCTGCACCATCTCACGACTCCTTAATAATGTAACTAAGGATAACTCTGCATATCATGACAAGTACTGAGCCCATAATGAACACAACCCATGGCAATCAAGGACGACACCAAAAATTTGTTAAAACAGAGAATACAGAACGAAATCATGATTTTTTATTGTGAAGATTAATGGATACCTCTAGTTTGTAACCTGCAAATGCACCAGGGAATTTCTCTGCCATGATTTCCATGGCAGCAAGGAAAGCAACAACCTAATAAGAAGTTACAGTGTCAATAAGGGAACGATCAATGCATTGACCAGGTCATGAAAATAATTATACCTGCTTCCCCATTTGTGGAGATATCACAGCATAAACATTCGCATCCTGCACAGTTTTGTTCAACAGTTGCCTATTTCCACCAGTTGTGCCCATTACAAATGGCAAGCCAAGTTTGCAGTAAAGTTCAGCATTGGCTGCAAGCCAAGTCATGATCAATAGCAGCAAAAACATGGAGCAAATAATGTACAAACAAAGAACATCCAAGCAATGGGCAGAATTGCAGACAAATTGCTTGCCTAACCATGAATAAATAATCCCTCAATATTCAAAAAGAATCCCTCAGTTCGTAAATAGACGGGTTTTTAGATACGGGCATGGTCTCTAATAGGCAACTTTGACCATCACTGCTCGTAAATAGACACCGTTTTAGACATCACAAGGGATTAAGTATATGAATTCACAATAGTACAATGGAATATAAACTATTGTCTACAGTGTTATATTTGTATCTAAAGGAAAAAAAACACTCAGTTGTCCAGTAGAAATTACTAATATGCTTACCATTAACAGCATCAGGCACTGTGTAGTCAACAACTATCATATCTGGGTAGTCCTTAGCAATGGAACGGAGAATACGTTCACTTTCAGATGGATCATGAATATGAATATCTCTGTCACAGATGTTGAGCTTTCCATCAGGAACCTCTATTGCACTGAATGACACCGGAACTAACTGAAGACCAGCAGACACAGCTGCTTCAGCAACAGACTTCCCCATTTTCCCGGTGCAGCTGTTCACCTATAAATATAAGTGCACTGGGTCAAATATAATATATGCTTTCTCCTGCCATGTGTATCGTATTAGCAATTCAACTTTGCTTTACTGAAATGCTGGAAGTAATTGGGATATGATGAATGGATAAACTCAATAATGCCAGAGCTTAGAGTCAGTAGAGAAGATTTTAATCAAGGAAGAGAATTTCAGTAAGCAGACATAATTTAGGATATTGAATATGAAAAGTTGAAAGCAACAACAAAAGTTAAAACAGCAACCACAAGATCTTAATGCAATCCATTGACCATAGTAATTGAACGTCGACCAGGTCATGCTTCTGTTTCGTGGTTTCACTTGTCCATCTTTACATAGAGCTATACTATGAAATTAGTTAATGGGATATTATTTCTATACTATACTTCCTCCGTTCCTAATTACTTTAGGCCTCCTTTGGTTCATAGGATAGGAATAGGAAAAAAAAATAGGAAATGAGATGACATGTATCTCAACTCCTATAGGGAAAGAGATGTCACTTGATTCATAGGAGAGGAACTTTTTCAATGGGTCTAGGCTAATGTTTTTTTTTTCCTTTGAAATGTGAAGGATTTGTTCCTATCCTACATAGGAATAGGAATCCGTTCCTACAAACCAAAGGGCTCCAAAGGGATTTTTCCTACAAAATTCATCTAAACCAAAGGAGGCCTTAAGTTCTAGCTTTGTCTTAAGTCAAACTTCTTTAAGTTTGAACAACTATATGGAAAAATATGCTGACATTTACAAAATCATATATATATAGTACGAAAATAGTTCATGGCTAATCTAATGAAATTATTTTGGTGTTGTAAGTGTTAATGTAGTTTTCTATAAACTTGATCTAACTTAAAAAATGTTGACTTAGGACAAACTAGAACTTCAACCAATTTGGAATGAAGGTAGTACATAGCAGACAACTTCAGTGAAGTGGCTAGCCCCTAAAGACATGTCCATGTATGAATAGTTCTTCAGGCTCTTGTTTGCAAAGTAATATCTGAGAAGGCAGGGGCTGACCAGCTTTATCGAGCTTGCCTTTTAATAGTTCCACGAGAGACCTGGCAGAGAGACTACACTTTCATGGGCTCAAAATGGAAGTCCAATTCTATAACTGGAACCCACCAAGCCTTGATTCTGGTTTTCCTTTTTTTTTGCAGCTAAAACACTGGTCTCTTCTGCTTTCAATAACTGTACCACTAATTGAATATCAGGTATCCACTCAGTGTTGTTATCCTGGAGTACCTATGGAACTCTGACCACACCTATATAACTTCGGTTAAATTTGCTAAAGCGACTGTTGCAGAATGAATACAACGGTGATCATGCCCATTTCAAAATAGAATATAACAGGTGCGGTGTCACATAAGCAAACAATCACAAGTCCAACATACATAGCAATCAATAGACGCAAGTTTAATAATTTTAAAAGAACAAAGTTCTTGATGAATTCAAGATTTCAAGCGGGCAGATCCTATCCTTCTCCATCGGAGCACTAAAAGTGTTTGCAATGTCACTCTGCACAGGAATAAATGAACGGTATGGTTCACAATTAGTCCATGTCAGCTCATTGCCAACATCGCGTCAAAATGTATGATGCTGTATGCCCAAACCGTGAGGCTCACGTTAGTCAGGTTTGCATATCGCCATACCCATATGCTAAACAATCGATTTTATTTTTATTTTATGGATTCACTAAGTAAGTATACCAAACTGAAACAGTCCTGCAACCACCAACGCATATATTGATTTAAAACTGAAGCAACAAAAGATATCCAAATACACAGTGCCACATGAACCTAAATAACAATAAAATTAAACAGTGATGAATACGGCTTAAATCTCAAATCCGCAATCGTACCAGTATCGGGAAAGAGAGCTTGCGAGGCGCCGCGGGGGAGCTCTCGCGGCTCTGGGTGGCAACGGCGTTAGTGACCGAAAGCATCGCCACTGGCAACCGCCGCCTTGGCGTCGCGGTCCGGATTGGAGCGCAGAATTGCTGGTGCTGGCGGACCGAATGCCGCTGCGACGCGACGGCGGCGGGGTGAACAGCGAAGGCAGCGGAGAGCATCTCCGTGCGTTTCGGGAGAAGGTGGTCGGAGGAGGGCGGGGGAGGGGGAGGGGGGAAGAGCGTGGTGCGCGGCGGCTGGGCTGTGCTGCGCCGCTGAGCTTTCGTCTAGGGTTTTAGCCTTTCGGGGTCAGGGTGGAATGGGCGCTTGCGTTTGGGTCCGTTGTATGTTTTTCTTTTCTTTTTTTCTTTTTGTGAGTGTGAGTAATAAAACGGACCGTTGGTTCATAAATTTGGAGGAAAAGAAGTCCCTGAATTTAAAAAACGGCTTTGCTAAATCTTATGTGCCTGAAAATTTCGCTTGTGGCGGTCGATTCTTGACAAGACCGAAAACGACAACGTGGCGAGCACTAGCGAGGAGCGTCGACTCTGGCGAGGCCGAACCGGGTCCTCGCCGAAGACGGGGACAACACAGCGAGTTGCAGCTTCTTCGAGGCAGAGGCAAGAAGAGGGTTGACTAGTGTGGGTCGGAGATGCAGGGTCATCATCTACACTGAAGAAGGGAGATGCTTAGAGGGATGTTCAGGAAGGTGAAGGGGGAGGGGGAGAGCATGACTCAAGACCCCATGCGTTACAACTGGAGAGAGAAAATACCACATACCCCTAGCAAATAAGTATGGCTCAAGACCCTAATGGGTCCACGTCCTTTATTTTAATATGGCATCTCATTTGTGTATGTCGCTTATCCTTCTTTTCATCCTCACTAATGGCGCCTCAATGCTCACACAATCATAATCCATTTGAATGTGGTCTATCCTAAGGCGTCACTCTCTCTTTCGGCATAAGATGGGAAATCTGCTTTTTTTCTATGAGGTTTTTGCCGAGGCGTGCATGTGTGGTTATCGATGGTTTCTTTCGACTCCAACCTAGCTTGCTAAGGTGTTCCGAATCGGCGCCAATACGAAATAAAGATGAATCATGCGCTATTAATTAAAGTTGCAAAGTGAATAGCATTTTAAAGGTTGGTTGCAAGTGTCTTGCAGTGTGAACGATGCTTTTTAAGGAAATATGCCCTAGAGGCAATAATAAAGTTGTTATTTTATATTTCCTTATTCATGATAAAGGTTTATTATTCATGCTAGAATTGTATTGATCAGAAACCTCAATACATGTGTGAATACATAAACAAACATAGTGTCCCTAGTAAGCCTCTACTAGACTAGCTCGTTGATCAAAGATGGTTAAGGTTTTCTAACCATGGACATGAGTTGTCATTTGATAATGGGATCACATCATTAGGAGAATGATGTGATGGACAAGACCCATCCATTATCTTAGCATAATGATCGTTCAGTTTTATTGTATTGCTTTCTTCATGTCAAATACATATTCCTTCGACTATGAAATTATGCAACTCCCAGATACCGAAAGAATACCCCGTGTGCTATCAAACGTCACAATGTAACTGGGTGATTATAAATATGATCTACATGTATCTCCGAAGGTGTCCGTTGAGTTGGCATAGATCTAGATTAGGATTTGTCACTCCGAGTATCGAAGAGGTATCTTTGGGCCCTCTCGGTAGTACACATTATAAGCTTGCAAACAAACGACTAAGGAGTTAGTCACGAGATAATGTATTACAAAACGAGTAAAGAGACTTGCCGGTAATGAAATTGAACTAAGTATGAAGATACAGACAATCGAATCTCGGGCAGGTAACATACCAATGGACAATGGGAATTACGTATGTTGTCATAACAGTTCGACCGATAAAGATCTTCATAGAATATGTAGGAGCTAATATGAGCATCCAGGTTCCGCTATTGGTTATTAACCGGAGAGGTGTCTCAGTCATGTCTACATAGTTCTCGAATCCGTAGGGTCCGCACGTTTAACGTTCGATGACGATATAGTATTATATGAGTTATTTGATTTGGTGACTGAATATTGTTCAGAGTCCTGAATGAGATCACAGACATGATGAGGAGTCTCGAAATGGTCGAGAGGTAAAGATTGGTATATAGGACAATGGTATTTGGACACTGGAAATGTTCCGGAGGGTACTGGGTACGTAACGGGTCATCAGAAGGGGTTCTGGGCACCCTCAACAAAAAATATGGGCCTTATGAGCCAAGAGGGGAAACGCACCAGCCACAAGGGCTGGTGCGCCCCCCATATGGGTTGCCCAAGGCGGAGAAGGAAAGGGGAAGGAGGAAAGGAAAGAAAGGGAATAGGATTCCCCCTTCCTTCCCCCTCCCCCCTCTTTCCTTCCCCTCTCATATATATGGCAGGGGGCGCGCGACTTGGTAGGAGCCCAAGTAGGATTCGGTCCTACTTAGGGCGCCTCCTGGCCTCTCCCCTCCCCCTCCCACCTATATGTTGGGGAACGTAGCAGAATTTCAAAATTTTCTACGCATCACCAAGATCAATCTATGGATATTCTAGCAACAAGAGAGGGAGAGGATGAGCATCTTCATACCTTTGAAGATCGCTAAGCGGAAGCGTCACTAGAACGCGGATGAGGGAGTCGTACGCGCGGCGATTCAAATCGCGGAAGATCCGATCTAACGCTTGAACGAACGGCGCCTCCGCGTTCAACACACGTACAGCCCGGGGACTTGATCCAGCAAGGGGAGAGGAGAAGTTGAGGGAGAGCTCCGGCAGCACGACGGCGTGGTGGTGGAGCTTGCAGTTCTCCGGCAGGGCTTCGCCAAGCACTACGGAGGAGGAGGTGGAGTTGGAGAGGGGGAGGGCTGCGCCAGGGGAAGGGTCTGGCAGCCCCCCCCCCCTACTATTTATAGGGGGAAGGGGAGAGCGGGTCGGCCCCCTTAGATCTCATCTAAGGGAGGGCGGCCAAGGGGGGGACTTGCCCCCCAAGTTGGTGGGAGGCACCTTGGGCCCTAGGGGGGCGCACCAGCCCACTAGGGGGCTGGTTCCCACCCTTGTTCAGCCCACTAAGTTCCCCGTGGCAGGTGGACCCACCCGATGGACCCCCGGACACCTTTCGGTGGTCCCGGTACAATACCGGTAACCCCCGAAATTATTCCGGTGACTGAAACTGGACTTCCCATATATAAATCTTTACCTCCGGACCATTCCGGAACTCCTCGTGATGTCCGGGATCTCATCCGGGACTCTGAACAACATTCGGTAACTGCGTACTAATTCCCATATCAACTCTAGCGTCACCGAACCTTAAGTGTGTAGACCCTACGGGTTCGGGAATCATGTAGACATGACCGAGACAGCTCTCCGGTCAATAACCAACAGCGGGATCTGGATACCCATGTTGGCTCCCACATGTTCCACGATGATCTCATCGGATGAACCACGATGTCGGGGATTCAAGCAATCCCGTATACAATTCCCTTTGTCAATTGGTACGTTACTTGCTCGAGATTCGATCGTCGGTATCCCAATACCTCGTTCAATCTCGTTACCGGCAAGTCACTTTACTCGTTCTGTAATGCATGATCCTGTAACTAAATACTTAGTCACATTGAGCTCATTATGATGATGCATTACCGAGTGGGCCCAGAGATACCTCTCCGTCATACGGAGTGACAAATCCCAGTCTCGATCCGTGCCAACCCAACAGACACTTTTGGAGATGCCTGTAGTGTACCTTTATAGCCACCCAGTTACGTTGTGATGTTTGGTACACCCAAAGCATTCCTACGGTATCCGGGAGTTACACAATCTCATGGTCTAAGGAAATGATGCTTGACATTAGAAAAGCTTTAGCAAACGAACTACACGATCTTGTGCTACGCTTAGGATTGGGTCTTGTCCATCACATCATTCTCCTAATGATGTGATCCTGTTATCAATGACAAACATCTATTGATCAACGAGCTAGTCAACTAGAGGCTCACTAGGGACATGTTGTGGTCTATGTATTCACACATGTATTACGGTTTCCGGTTAATACAATTAGAAAAAGTTCATATAACCCCCACAACTATCAATTTTGGGCCACATTACCCCCCCACGTCTAAAACCGGGATCTTAATCCCCTGAACTTTCACAAACAAGTCAAAACACCCCCTGCTGCCCATTTCAGTGGTTTCAGAGGGCGGTTTTGCCAACGTGGCGCCTGACGCGCGGGACCGGCATGCCAGGTAGGATCTGGGAGGGTTGGGTGCGGTGTAAATCCCCCCTTGCGCCTCGAACCGGTTCGACCCAGCCAGCATCTTCGTCTGCTTCGACCCCCAGCCTCTTCGTCTTCGCCGCCCCCTCAGTTCTCTCTCCCCGACGACGACGGCGGCAGGAGGGACGGCGTTTGGCGACATGAACTGAGCGCCCCGAGCCGGCGGCACGTGCAGGTTTGTAAACGCATCTGATTTTGTCTGAGAAGTGAACCACCATGTGCTTGATTTCTCTGTTCTTGTTAGGGTTTTGGGGGTTTTGGGGGATTTCAAAATCAACCCAGATGGTCGTCTTCTTGTTGTTTTCATGCATTCAGCGGTCCATGTGGTTAGTGCGGTCGTGCTGGATAGCCATGGTTTAGGGTTCGTTGATTTATGGCTGATTCAGTTTGAACTGAACTGAAAGGGGGGATTTTGATTCAGAGATATTTTTTTTCATAGGTTTGAGCCATGGATCCGCTGGACTATCTCTGCATCAGGTTTCATTCAGAGGACAGTTTGAATATGATGGAACAGTGTGGCAGTATGTGAATGGAAGTCAAGGCCTTTCAACAGTACAACACCACAAAATTAGCCTTGAAGAACTGAAGAAAAAACTTGCAGAGCATGTGCCTTGTTCAGATAAGCAACTGCAGGAAACAAATTTACATTGGAAGTTCCCTGGGATGATTAGAGATGGCCAAATGAATAGAGCCCTAGTGATGTTGCATGACAAAAAATCTGTCCTGGAGATGGCCAAACATGTCACTGATGCAGGGGTCATGGACATTTATGCTAATATTCCTGATAATTTTGTAGCACAAGAAGCTAGTGAATGGGAGGAAGAATATGCAGCAGATATAGGGGAAGGTAATTGTGATGTTGATTCAGAGGAGGAGGAGATGCACCAAGTGCCAGAACAGGAGCAGCAGC